AGTCTAGTCTATGGTCTAGTCTATAGTCTAGTCTATAGTCTAGTCTATAGTCTAGTCTGTAGTCTAGTCTATTGTCTAGTCTATTGTCTAGTCTATTGTCTAGTCTATTGCCCAGTTTTTAGTCAAATCAACATGTGAGTTTTCCATCCCTGATATACAATGTAAAATCATGTTAAAAATGTAGATGGAGATGGATGACTGGCTGGTTGGCTAAGATTCAACTAGACTGTGTGACTGATATAAATGGCATTTAAGGCAGAGGTTCTTAAAGGGTGTGAGAAAAAGCACTAACTTTCAAAACTCGAATTCACACATTTTTGTTTTGCCCTCAGTTTAAGAATAGCTGCCTTTAATAGATGTGTTTTTCATATCCTTGCCACTGGTATTTTGTTTTTATTTCTTCATTTTTGGGTTTCTTGTTTTTTTCTTGTCTTTCACTAGACAATCACATATAAAATATCATGGTATTTACAATTTGTCTATAGATTTCAACATATTTTATCTTTGTGACTGTAACAGAATCCCCAAAAAATAAAGTAACCAATTCTCTCTAACTTGTGATTGGTATCTGCTGCTGCTGCCAGCACTATAACTACAAGCATAATCATGACACAACGTGACATGTTTTTCTTGTAACAAATTCTTTTTATTTTTCTCAAGATTTATTTATTTAAATTTTCTTTTGTTTAGTTTCTATATCACAAAAGTTTTTCACTTTAAAATCCTTTTACTTAGTAATAATGTAAATAGAATTAAAATTAATATTATTACAGAGTTTTTATTTCCCTTCATTCTTTTACTTCGGTTTTGAGGAATTTTATTTATAATTTTTTGTTATGTTTTTTTTTTTTTTTGGCAAGAAATCAAAATACAAGAAGAAATATTTTTTGTTGGTTTGGTCAAACAAAAACTTTTTAATTTAGTTTCTTGTTTTGTGGTTTTTTGAAATCCTTAAGGGGTTTTTTCTCCTTTGCTTTTGTTTAAAAATATTTTTTTAGGATAAAATGTTGTATTTCTTTTAGTAATTTTTGTCAAAAATTAAATAGAGTTATACAAGTCCCCATAGGTAAGTAGGCTGTTTTAGTAGGAAAATGACAACAAATGAAAAATTGTTTTTTTTATGAACACATGAACGAAATTTAATTTTCTTATTTTGTCTTATGAAATTGTTTAGGGGATTAGAAATTAAATTGTTTTAATGAGATGTTGTTACATGTATTTTATAAGATTTAAAAAAAAATATGTTGTACAATATGTACTTCAGGGGAAATGCTACATACATATATAAAGATGTATATAAGTAGCCACCTTAAAGTAAATCAATGTGTTTAAGTTAGAAATCAGAATTGAACATGCCTCATAAAAATGTCCTTCTAACATACCGTTTGAATATACAAAAAATTTTCTTTTTAGTTTTTCCTGAAAAGAGAATTTATCGAACATTATCATGAAAAGGCTTTGATGCACACAAACATAGTTAGTTAGTTAGTTAGTTAGTTAGGTAGTTAGTTAGTTAGTTAGTTAGTTAGTTAGTTAGTTAGTTAGTAGTTAGTTAGTTAGTTAGTTAGTTAGTTAGTTAGTTAGTTAGTTAGTTAGTTAGTTAGTTAGTTAGTTAGGTTAGTTAGTTAGTTAGTTAGTTAGTTAGTTAGTTAGTTAGTTAGTTAGTTAGTTAGTTAGTTAGTTTAGTTAGTTAGTTAGTTAGTAGTTAGTTAGTTAGTTAGTTAGTTAGTTAGTTAGTTAGTTAGTTAGTTAGTTAGTTAGTTAGTTAGTTAGTTAGTAGTTAGTTAGTTAGTTAGTTAGTTAGTTAGTTAGTTAGTAGTTAGTTAGTTAGTTAGTTAGTTAGTTAGTTAGTTAGTTAGTTAGTTAGTTAGTTAGTTAGTTAGTTAGTTAGTTAGTTAGTTAGTTAGTTAGTTAGTTAGTTAGTTAGTTAGTTAGTTAGTTAGTTAGTTAGTTAGTTAGTTAGTTGGTTAGATAATTGCCTGTCTCCACTGTGAGTCATGTAATCTCAATTTGTTGCTGGGTTGTACATTTCTGTTTTTTATTATTATTGCTTTTTACCAAAAATTTATTAAACGTTTATAAAAACTTACATAAATTTAATATTTATTAAAAAAGTTTACTTTTTTTATTCCCAAATATACAGTGGTGGCTACGATTTTAGCACACTTGGTATATGTTGCCTATAACATAAAATATTTCCTATAGTTCTTAACTTTTTTAACAAATTATTTTTTATGCGTAACACATGTCCTTCGATGATCACGACACATTACATTTTGTTCCACTACTTTGTTGCATATAGATTTTTTTTCTTTCCAAAGTACATCTACCCCCAAAAAAATCTGGACATAAATTTAGCACAAAATTAAAAAATCATTAAAAAATTAAAAATAAAACAAAACAACCGGCTATATTTATCTTATTGCACTTAAAATTTTATATTTTGTGGAATAGTTGCAGATTTTGATAATATCATTTCTCCTCCTGGACATAATCTTCACCAGAACCCTCTAGAAATTTCATGACATAAATATTAACTTTCAGCCCATAAATTGGCAAAATTCTTGGTGATTTCTGCTTTTATTTGTTGGTCCATATCATGTTATATGTTCTCTATTGAATTGGAATCGAGAAAATATACTGGGCACTGCAAACATGACAATCCCGCTCGCTTCCAAGCAGCTCATCTCAGCACTTTTAGCATATTTACGGTCGATGTCGACCAAAAAACGCCATCTTTGTCCTCCGATTTTTTTTAATAAAGTATTTAAGATCCTATTTTGATAGTCATACGGATCCATTTCTGCATCCAACATCAATATAGGACCAACAGCACGCCAAGAAAATGCAATGAATACCATGAAATTCCCCCCTATTGTGATATATGATTTCTCTGGAACACTTTAGCTTTATCTGCATGATTGGAGTATACTAGTTGAAGATTATTAGGATCAAATTTGATGGAAAAATGTAATTATGTTGTACTCCAAACATGCAGCAACAACCAAAGTGTACATTTAAAACCATAAAACACAATGGGTGAAATATGACGAATTCGGAGGCGTTTTCCGGGCGTAGTGGAGGTTTTATACGCAAGGTGGATGCACAAATGGATCAGTATGACTATCAAAATAGACTGTTAAATATTTTAGTAAAAAAATTAGTGGACAAAAGTTCAGTTAAATGGCGTTTTTTGGTCGACAATGACCCAAAATATGTTAAAAGTACAGAGAGGAGCTTCTTGGAAGCGGGCGAGATTGACATGTTTGCAGCGCCCAGAATAATTTCTAGATCCCAATCCAATAGGGAACATATTAAACGAAATGGTGCAACAAATAAAACACAAATTCCTAAGAATTTTGCCTATTTATGGGCTGAAAGTTAAAATTTATGTCATGAAATTTCTAGTGTGTACTGGAAATTTATCCGGTTTCTTTGCTTTATTTTTAATTTTTTAATGATTTTTTTTATTTTGTGCTAAACTTATGTCCAGATTTTTTTGGGGGTAGATGTACTTTGGAAAGAAAAAAATCTATATGCAACAAAGTAGTGGAACAAAATGTAATGTGTCGTGATCCTCGAAGGACATGTGTTACGCATAAAAAAGAATTTGTTAAAAAAGTTAAGAACTATAGGAAATATTTGATTTTATATTTAACAGATACCAAATGTGCTAACCTCATGGCCGCCACTGTATGTATGTGTGTAAGTATTTGACAATATGTCAATATTTTATATACAACAATTTGTTATTTATAATGGTTGTATGATATTTTATTTATTTATGTGCAAATGCAAAAGTCTGGCTGACACTGTACACATAAATATTTATGACCTCATACAGAAGTTTTCAGGGCAATAAAAAAGTAATCACTGATTTTAAGTGGCATTTTTTAACACCGAGTGATTTGAAAAAGCAAAATTGGGTTATCAGCGATATTTTTCGTTAAGTTGAGTTTAAAAGCTAAATGGGTATTTTATTGGCATTAAAACTATAAAAACAAATATTTTTTGTTAATGTTTGCAATACCTCTATAACTTAAGCAAAGTTGACAAATGTGCTAAATCTACTTTTTATAAAATATAGATAGCCAGTGCAAATGAGCTAAATCCACTTTTTGGTGAAAATAAAAACTTTTTATGAATTAAAAATTTCTTAATAAAGTTAAATAAACCCTTTGCTAATGTTTTACCATGTGAAAGTGCTTAAAATATTTTTATTGTCTTATTGACTTAATTATTTTTCTTCGAAACTTTAAAGTCCCTAAGGGCTATATACATAAATTAAGTCTAAATAATCGATATAGAATTTTAATGAAATGTTTGTTTTTACTATAAACTGCTAATGCTTAAAGTCAATAACATTTCAAAGTTAATTTGTATTCACGCGCCATTTTTTGCTAACACTTTGTTAATGTTCCATTTGCACCCCCTAACTACTCCTTGCTTAGCTGTCATCTTGGTATTTTGAATTTATTGTTAAATGATGTTCTTAAATGGGATTTTAAAAGATTGCTATTAAATTATCATAATTGCCATTGTTGTGTCATTAATATTTTTAATTATGAAAATAAACTTAAAATTCTTACAGGAACATGTTTACGCACAAAACAGCATGAATTTTAATAAAAAAATTATAATTTCAATTTAAATAACAAACAACGACGAAAAATAACACCTACACAACAACAGTTTGTACAACAAATCCTTTAGATACCAGGGGTTTAGTTCTTTCTTGGGAACCAGTAATACCTTTTGAATTATTACAACATTTGTGTGGAAATGTAACAAAAGAACAGGAAACCTTAGATAAATTACAATTTTACCAAATAAAACAAATAACCAAAAAAAAAAGAAACATAAGAAATTCTAAGGAAAAGGGCTTAATTGGTATTTTATTTTGTGTTTTATATAAAATTTGTTTTTTTTTTACCAAAAATCTCCAACCGGGTATTAATAATTTATTTGCTTCTCTTTCTTGTCTTTTGTGTTCGTTACAGGACTCTCCGACACCAAACTCCATGAAATCTATTTGGACAACAAAGAAATAAAACTCAGCTGGATGGTGGACTGGTATAAACAAGAAGTACTTTTTCACCTGCAAAACGCCTTTAACGAACAGCATCGTTGGTTCTATTTGGGCTTCTCGAAACGTGGTGGCATAGGAGATGCTGATATTTGTTTTTTTGAAAATCAAAATGGTTTTTTCAATGTGGTTACGGACACCTACACCAGTCCGGATGGTAAATTTGTACACAAGGATTATCAGCAGGATTGTGTACTCTTTAAAATGGATGAATATACTTTGGCGTTTAAAAGGAAATTTGATACCTGTGATCCATCAGATTTTCGTATGCATGTAAGTGTTGTGTGAGAAGATTTTAAAATGTTTTTAATTAATATTTATTGTTGGTTTATTTTTTGCTTAAATTTTGTTATTGTTGTTTTGTTTTTAGGAAGGTACCATGTATGTTATGTGGGCCAGAGGTGAAGTTGAATTGGAACTTACAGATTATCAGTTTCCCTTTCCAAATGTTTCCTCCCAAGAGTCGGGCATTAAAATGATGCAACTATTGAGAGCTGATAAAATTCTTATACCAGAAACGTGAGTAACAAAACTTTTTGTGGAATAATAGGGGTGTTCACTGAAGGCAATTTTAAGAGAAGGGAGCTGGCAAACTCAACGCCAAACATTAATTTGGATACTTTTTAATAGGAAAAATAGTTACAATCTGAGTACCTTTTCCAAGTACTTTTACCAAAGGAAAGTAGTCTTAATATAGGTGCTTTTGTCATAGAAAAATTACTCAGTATCCGAAAACTTTTTCGGTACTCTTTTTAAATTGTGAACTTTTGATAAGTATTCCACAATGTATGTAGTCAATTAACAAGTTTGGGCTATATTACAGCGTATAGTCTAGATTATAATCTAGTTAATACATTAGTCTTTAGTCTAGTCTATAGTCTAGTCTATAGTCTAGTCTATAGTCTAGTCTATAGTCTAGTCTATAGTGTAGTCTATAGTCTAGTCAATAGTGTAGTCTATAGTCTAGTCTATAGTCTAGTCTATAGTCTAGTCTATAGTGTAGTCTATAGTCTAGTCTATAGTCTAGTCTATAGTCTAGTCTATAGTCTAGTCTATAGTCTAGTCTAGTCTATAGTCTAGTCTATAGTCTAGTCTATAGTCTAGTCTATAGTCTAGTCTATAGTCTAGTCTATAGTCTAGTCTATAGTCTAGTCTATAGTCTAGTCTATAGTCTAGTCTATAGTCTAGTCTATAGTCTAGTCTATAGTCTAGTCTATAGTCTAGTCTATAGTCTAGTCTATAGTCTAGTCTATAGTCTAGTCTATAGTCTAGTCTAGTCTAGTCTAGTCTAGTCTAGTCTAGTCTAGTCTAGTCTAGTCTAGTCTATAGTCTAGTCTATAGTCTAGTCTATAGTCTAGTCTATAGTCTAGTCTATAGTCTAGTCTATAGCCTATTCTACTCTATAGCCTAGTCTAGTCATTCCTACAGTCTAGTCTATATCCTAGACTACAGTCTATTCTATACTCTATTCTATAGTCTACAGTCTGGTCTATAATCTAGTCTATAGTTCATTCCATAGTATTTTCTACAGATTATTCTATAGTGTGGTCTATAGTCTATATAAGTATATATTCTATTCTAGACTAGATCTAGTCTATAGTCTAGTCTATAGCCTAGTCTATAGCCTAGTCTATAGTCTAGTCTATAGTCTAGTCTATAGTCTAGTCTATAGTCTAGTCTATAGTCTAGTCTATAGTCTAGTCTATAGTCTAGTCTATAGTCTTGTCTATAATCTAGTCTATAGTCTAAAAAATACACTCTAGGCAAGTTACAGCCATAAGTGAATACCCCTTCTATAATGTCATGTCCTTCTTCCGAACCTTAGATACGAATAACTTAAATATAAAACTAACATTTTATTACTTCTGTCTTTTATTTTCCTCCTAATTTTTCATTTTATATTTTACATGATATTTTCGATTTCATCTTTTTCTCATTTCACATCTCTCCCTCAATTTATCTAACACTCAACCTAATTTCCCCCCTTCCAACACCTTCAGTGACCTTAAGCACATAGAAATAACCCTCGATGAAGTACCGGTGCCAGTGAAAGAAACCACTTATTGGTGTCATATACAAAAACTTGATGATTTTCTACAGCAAAAACATCATATTGTACAATTTGAGCCACTGATTACAACACCCGGTGTCGTACATCACATGGAGGTATTTCACTGTGAAACCGATTGGAATGTCGAAATACCACTGTACAACGGTGACTGTGAACAATTGCCGGCCGAAGCAAAAGTCTGTTCAAAAGTCATTGCCTTGTGGGCAATGGGTGCCAGTACGTTCACATATCCACCTGAGACTGGTTTGCCAATTGGTGGTAAAGCATACAATCCCTATATACGTTTAGAGGTGCATTTTAATAATCCTGAACTAGAGAAAGGTGGGTATTCATACTGACATATGTACGTATATATCTATAAAGCTGTCAAAGGTGATTTATGTTAACATTATACATGTAGTTTAAGTATGGATGGATGGATGTGTGAGTATATGTACGTGTGTAGGTAATCGTAGATACGGGTGAACTTTTACACAAACAAACACATATACATGCATGCTTGCATACATAAATAAAAATGAACATGGACATGGGAGTCGAAAGCCAATTTACTTTGAACATATAGCAAAAAAGAAAGTAGGTGAAAAAAAGAATTAAACATGTATTAGTGGGGGAAAGAAGTAATTTATTTTATGCGAATTTACAAAAACCATGCAAACTGTAAACAAAACTATACCACAGATCAGATTAAAGACCTGACTGAAGACTAAACTAAAGACTGTACCATTGACTGGACTTTTGACTTGACTATAGTCTTAACTGTAGACTTGACTTCAGACTGAACTATTGAATTGAATATATACTTGTATAGACTATAGACCACACTATAGAATAATCTGTACAAAATACTATGGAATGAACTATAGACTAGATTATAGACCAGACTGTAGACTATAGAATAGAGTATAGAATAGACTGTAGTCTAGGATATAGACTAGACTGTAGGAATGACTAGACTAGGCTATAGAGTAGAATAGGCTATATACTAGACTATTTACTAGACTATAGACTAGACTATAGACTAGACTATAGACTAGACTATAGACTAGACTATAGACTAGACTATAGACTAGACTATAGACTAGACTATAGACTAGACTATAGACTAGACTATAGACTAGACTATAGACTAGACTATAGACTAGACTATAGACTACACTATAGACTAGACTATAGACTAGACTATAGACTAGACTAAGACTAGACTATAGACTAGACTATAGACTAGACTATAGACTACACTATAGACTAGACTATAGACTAGACTATAGACTAGACTATAGACTACACTATAGACTAGACTATAGACTAGACTATAGACTACACTATAGACTAGACTATAGACTAGACTAAAGACTATACTATAGACTAGACTATAGACTAGACTAAAGACTATACTATAGACTAGACTATAGACTAGACTATAGACTAGACTATAGACTAGACTATAGACTAGACTATAGACTAGACTATAGACTAGACTATAGACTAGACTATAGACTAGACTATAGACTAGACTATAGACTAGACTATAGACTAGACTATAGACTAGACTATAGACTAGACTATAGACTAGACTATAGACTAGACTATAGACTAGACTATAGACTAGACTATAGACTAGACTATAGACTAGACTATAGACTAGACTATAGACTAGACTATAGACTAGACTATAGACTAGACTATAGACTAGACTATAGACTAGACTATAGACTAGACTATGACTAGACTATAGACTAGACTATAGACTAGACTATAGACTAGACTATAGACTAGACTATAGACTAGACTATAGACTAGACTATAGACTAGACTATAGACTAGACTATAGACTAGACTAGAGACTAGACTATAGACTAGACTATAGACTAGACTATAGACTAGACTATAGACTAGACTATAGACTAGACTATAGACTAGACTATAGACTAGACTATAGACTAGACTATAGACTAGACTATAGACTAGACTATAGACTAGACTATAGACTAGACTTAGACTAGACTATAGACTAGACTATAGACTAGACTATAGACTAGACTATAGACTAGACTATAGACTAGACTATAGACTAGACTATAGATAGACTATAGACTAGACTATAGACTAGACTATAGACTAGACTATAGACTAGACTATAGACTAGACTATAGACTAGACTATAGACTAGACTATAGACTAGACTATAGACTAGACTATAGACTAGACTATAGACTAGACAGATAGACAACTATAGACTAGACTATAGACTAGACTATAGACTAGACTATAGACTAGACTATAGACTAGACTATAGACTAGACTATAGACTAGACTATAGACTAGACTATAGACTAGACTATAGACTAGACTATAGACTAGACTATAGACTAGACTATAGACTAGACTATAGACTAGACTATAGACTAGACTATAGACTAGACTATAGACTAGACTATAGACTAGACTATAGACTAGACTATAGACTAGACTATAGACTAGACTAGACTAGACTATAGACTAGACTATAGACTAGACATAGACTAGACTATAGAGACTAGACTATAGACTAGACTATAGACTAGACTATAGACTAGACTATAGAACTAGGACTATAGACTAGACTATAGACTAGACTATAGACTAGACTATAGACTAGACTATAGACTACGACTATAACTAGACTATAGACTAGACTAATAGACTAGACTATAGACTAGACTATAGACTAGACTATAGACTAGACTATAGACTAGACTATAGACTAGACTATAGACTAGACTATAGACTAGACTATAGACTAGACTATAGACTAGACTAGAGACTATAGACTAGACTATAGACTAGACTATAGACTAGACTATAGACTAGACTATAGACTAGACTATAGACTAGACTATAGACTAGACTATAGACTAGACTATAGACTAGACTATGACTAGACTATAGACTAGACTATAGACTAGACTATAGACTAGACTATAGACTAGACTATAGACTAGACTATAGACTAGACTATAGACTAGACTATAGACTAGACTATAGACTAGACTATAGACTAGACTATAGACTAGACTATAGACTAGACTATAGACTAGACTATAGACTAGACTATAGACTAGACTATAGACTAGACTATAGACTAGACTATAGACTAGACTATAGACTAGACTATAGACTAGACTATAGACTAGACTATAGACTAGACTATAGACTAGACTATAGACTCTATCTAGACTATAGACTAGACTATAGACTAGACTATAGACTAGACTATAGACTAGACTATAGACTATAGTCTAGTCTATAGACTAGACTATAGACTAGACTATAGACTAGACTATAGACTAGACTATAGACTAGACTATAGATAGACTATAGACTAGACTAGACTAGATATAGACTATAGTCTAGACTATAGACTAGACTATAGACTAGACTATAGACTAGACTATAGACTAGACTATAGACTAGACTATAGACTAGACTATAGACTAGACTATAGACTAGACTATAGACTAGACTATAGACTAGACTATAGACTAGACTATAGACTAGACTAGACTAGACTATAGACTAGACTATAGACTAGACTATAGACTAGACTATAGACTAGACTATAGACTAGACTATAGACTAGACTATAGACTAGACTATAGACTAGACTATAGACTAGACTATAGACTAGAATAGACTAGACTATAGACTAGACTATAGACTAGACTATAGACTAGACTATAGACTAGACTATAGACTAGACTATAGACTAGACTATAGACTAGACTATAGACTAGACTATAGACTAGACTATAGACTAGACTATAGACTAGACTATAGACTAGACTATAGACTAGACTATAGACTAGACTATAGACTATACTATAGACTAGACTATAGACTAGACTATAGACTACTATAGACTAGACTATAGACTAGACATAGACTAGACTATAGACTAGACTATAGACTAGACTATAGACTAGACTATAGACTAGACTATAGACTAGACTATAGACTAGACTATAGACTAGACTATAGACTAGACTATAGACTAGACTATAGACTAGACTATAGACTAGACTATAGACTAGACTATAGACTAGACTATAGACTAGACTATAGACTAGACTATAGACTATACTATAGACTAGACTATAGACTAACTATAGACTAGACTATAGACTAGACTATAGACTAGACTATAGACTAGACTATAGACTAGACTATAGACTAGACTATAGACTAGACTATAGACTACTAGACTAGACTATAGACTAGACTATAGACTAGACTATAGACTAGACTATAGACTAGACTATAGACTAGACTATAGACTAGACTATAGACTAGACTATAGACTAGACTATAGACGACTATAGACTAGACTATAGACTAGACTATAGACTAGACTATAGACTAGACTATAGACTAGACTATAGACTAGACTATAGACTAGACTATAGACTAGACTATAGACTAGACTATAGACTAGACTATAGACTAGACTATAGACTAGACTATAGACTAGACTATAGACTAGACTATAGACTAGACTATAGACTAGACTATAGACTAGACTATAGACTAGACTATAGACTAGACTATAGACTAGACTATAGACTAGACTATAGACTAGACTATAGACTAGACTATAGACTAGACTATAGACTAGACATAGACTAGACTATAGACTAGACTAGACTAGACTATAGACTAGACTATAGACTAGACTATAGACTAGACTATAGACTAGACTATAGACTAGACTATAGACTAGACTATAGACTAGACTATAGACTAGACTATAGACTAGACTATAGACTAGACTATAGACTAGACTATAGACTAGACTATAGACTAGACTATAGACTAGACTATAGACTAGGCTATAGACTAGACTATAGACTACACTTTAGACTAGACTATATACCAGAACAAAACTTCTTCCTCTACCCAATGGCAATAAAGAACTTAAATTTTCTTGCCACTTAGTGCCACATATAAGAGATAGAGAATGAGGGAGAATCACCAACAAACATGAGTGCGAAATAAATTGTACTTTCAACCCCTTTTTTTGCTTGCAACACAATATATCTATATTAAAAATGTTCGACGAAATGAAAACAAATAATCATCATTATTTTACTTTCGTTTTTTTCTGTTCACTTTTTTTTCGATTTTGAGTAAAAGTATTTATTTAAATTTTTTGTTGATTTCTTTAACGAAACAATATAGGTCATGTCGATAGTTCAGGATTGCGCATTAAAATGGTCTCACAGCTGAGGCAATTTGATGCTGGTGTCATGGAATTGGGACTTGAGTACACAGATAAAATGGCCATACCCCCTGGACAGGTGGCATTTCCATTAAGTGGTTATTGTATTGCAGAGTGTACGGAATTGGTAAGTTACAATAAAGTGTTTTCATTTTTTTCTCTTAATAGCTAACACACACACAATAGCTGTTAATGACATGACAATGTTATATAAAAAAAGCAAAAAAAATTATATTGGGGTAATTTATTTAAATTTTACCTTTGAAAAAAATCGTTACATTAAGAGGAAGCTTAAATTGTTAATAATACCCTTGTACAGCAAAAAGGAAGTAAATTGCTTTGTTACTTAAGTTGACATAGAAATTTAAATATTTTAATACCTCTCCCTGCTCACCAAAACATGTGTCAAAAGCAATAATTTTCTTTATATTTTCCATTTTACCACAACAACTAACTCGAATAGCTTTCGTGTTCAATTTATTATGAAAAATCTAAATTCTTTTATTGAAATCTTCACCTTCTTTTTATCTATTTAACACATTTCCAGGCATTTCCTCCCTCTGGCATTGTAGTTTTTGGCTCACAATTACACACCCATTTACGTGGTGTACGGGTATTGACGCGACATTTTCGTGGCTCAGAAGAATTACGTGAATTGAACCGTGATGATTATTATTCGCATCATTTTCAGGAGATGAGAAATTTACATTATAAACCACGTGTTTTGCCGGTAAGTTTTTCTTTTTGCTTTCTTTTTTCATTCATTCTTTAGATTTTCCTCATTGTCACCTTAAGTAGTTTGTGGGATTTTTTTTTTCGTTTCTGTAATATATCTGTGTGAATATTTTATGTTTTGGTTTTATTTTATGAATAGTCAATAAGTACACCATTTGGTGAAACAATCTCCAGGGATTTTGTGATCTATAAGAAAAGTTTTTTTTTTTCTGAATTAAGTTGTAATTTATTCCAATTAGCTACTCATGCCCTAATTTTGTAATTTCCTCGTAAAAAAATCTCTTTAAAATCTAGATGAGGTTTAACGTAAATAATTTCGTATTACTGAATTTTGGGATGATTGGATTATAATGGCTCAGCTGCAACAGTTGGCAATGACAAAAAAGTGCCATAGCGTCAAATTTTGTTGCATATTCTCGTTCTGCTCACAATATTATCACGAGTTTACTGCTGGAACTCGGTCCTAAAATAGTGCTACAGCTTCGGTTGATATTACCACTTAGATCCTAGATATATGCTGATCATCCTATTATGATATTTACCCTTTTTTGTCCAAAGTACTTGCCCATATTATAGAAGAGTAAACTACAATTTATCTAATTACGCCTTTATATGTATGTAATGTGTACCATAGTTGTACTGAGGCCTGATTTCGAGTCTTTTTTTTCACTTACAAAGCGTCCAACATCGATATGCTTGGTTAGTTAGTTAGTTAGCTAGTTAGTTAGTTAGTTAGTAGTTAGTTAGTAGTTAGTTAGTTAGTAGTTAGTTAGTTAGTTAGTTAGTTAGTTAGTTAGTAGTAGTTAGTTAGTTAGTTAGTTAGTTAGTTAGTTAGTAGTTAGTTAGTTAGGTTAGTTAGTTAGTAGTTAGTTAGTAGTAGTTAGTTAGTTAGTTAGTTAGTTAGTTAGTTAGTTAGTTAGTTAGTTAGTAGTTAGTTAGTAGTTAGTTAGTTAGTTAGTTAGTTAGTTAGTTAGTTAGTTAGTTAGTTAGTAGTTAGTTAGTTAGTTAGTTAGTTAGTAGTTAGTTAGTTAGTTAGTTAGTTAGATAGCTAGTTGGTGGTTGGTGGTTAGTTAGTTAGTTAGTTAGTTAGTTAGTTAGTTAGTTAGTTAGTTAGTAGTTAGCTTAGTTGTAGTTAGTTAGTTAGTTAGTTAGTTAGTTAGTTAGTTAGTTAGTTAGTTAGTTAGTTAGTTAGTTAGTTAGTTAGTAGTTAGTTAGTTAGTTAGTAGTTAGTTAGTTAGTTAGTTAGTTAGTTAGTTAGTTAGTTAGTTAGTTAGTTAGTTAGTTAGTTAGTTAGTTAGTTAGTTAGTTAGTTAGTTAGTTAGTTAGTTAGTAGTTAGTTAGTTAGTTAGTTAGTTAGTTAGTTAGTTAGTTAGTTAGTTAGTTAGTTAGTTAGTTAGTTAGTTAGTTAGTTAGTTAGTAGTTAGTTAGTTAGTTAGTTAGTTAGTTAGTTAGTTAGTTAGTTAGTTAGTTAGTTAGTTAGTTAGTTAGTTAGTTAGTTAGTTAGTTAGTTAGTTAGTTAGTTAGTTAGTTAGTTAGTTAGTAGTTAGTTAGTTAGTTAGTTAGTTAGTTAGTTAGTTAGTTAGTTAGTTAGTTAGTTAGTTAGTTAGTTAGTTAGTTAGTTAGTTAGTTAGTTAGTTAGTTAGTTAGTTAGTTAGTTAGTTAGTTAGTTAGTTAGTTAGTTAGTTAGTTAGTTAGTTAGTTAGTTAGTTAGTTAGTTAGTTAGTTAGTTAGTTAGTTAGTTAGTTAGTAGTTAGTTAGTTAGTTAGTAGTTAGTTAGTTAGTTAGTTAGTTAGTTAGTTAGTAGTTAGTTAGTTAGTAGTTAGTAGTAGTTAGTTAGTTAGTTAGTTAGTTAGTTAGTTAGTTAGTTAGTTAGTTAGTTAGTTAGTTAGTTAGTTAGTTAGTTAGTTAGTTAGTTAGTTAGTAGTTAGTTAGTTAGTTAGTTAGTAGTTAGTTAGTTAGTTAGTTAGTTAGTTAGTTAGTTAGTTAGTTAGTTAGTAGTTAGTTAGTTAGTAGTTAGTAGTTAGTTAGTAGTTAGTTAGTTAGTTAGTTAGTTAGTTAGTTAGTTAGTTAGTTAGTTAGTTAGTTAGTTAGTTAGTTAGTTAGTTAGTTAGTAGTTAGTTAGTTAGTTAGTTAGTTAGTTAGTTAGTTAGTTAGTTAGTTAGTTAGTTAGTTAGTTAGTTAGTTAGTTAGTTAGTTAGTTAGTTAGTTAGTTAGTTAGTTAGTTAGTTAGTAGTTAGTGTAGTTAGTTAGTTAGTTAGTTAGTAGTTAGTTAGTTAGTTAGTTAGTTAGTAGTTAGTTAGTTAGTTAGTTAGTTAGTAGTAGTTAGTTAGTTAGTTAGTTAGTTAGTTAGTTAGTTAGTTAGTTAGTTAGTAGTTAGTTAGTTAGTTAGTTAGTTAGTTAGTTAGTTAGTTAGTTAGTTAGTTAGTTAGTTAGTTAGTTAGTTAGTTAGTTAGTTAGTTAGTTAGTTAGTTAGTTAGTTAGTTAGTTAGTTAGTTAGTTAGTTAGTTAGTTAGTTAGTTAGTTAGTTAGTTAGTTAGTTAGTTAGTTAGTTAGTTAGTTAGTTAGTTAGTTAGTAGTTAGTTAGTTAGTTAGTAGTTAGTTAGTTAGTTAGTTAGTTAGTTAGTAGTTAGTTAGTTAGTTAGTTAGTTAGTTAGTTAGTTAGTTAGTAGTTAGTTAGTTAGTTAGTTAGTTAGTTAGTTAGTTAGTTAGTAGTTAGTTAGTTAGTTAGTTAGTTAGTTAGTTAGTTAGTTAGTTAGTTAGTTAGTTAGTTAGTTAGTTAGTTAGTTAGTTAGTTAGTTAGTTAGTTAGTTAGTTAGTTAGTTAGTTAGTTAGTTAGTTAGTTAGTAAATGGTGTAATGCCGTTCGGGAAAAATTCTGTAAATTTTTCCTGTTTTATTTTTTATGATTTTAACTATACATGCAAACACACTTACATCATTATGTATATAAGTATGTGTACATGTAAGTATATTACACCTAGATACTGCTAGAAGTGCATGCATGTTAACCAGTTTATTCCCCAGTCAATGAAAACTAAAAAATTAAAATAACATGAATTTACACTTTCAAAGATTTATTTTTTTATTACACTTAAACACATACACATGACAGCACTAATATATAAAAATGACTACTTGCAACACACCAGCAGTATGAAAGTATGTTTGTATGTTGCCGCATATCCTAACATACTTAAGTTAATGACATTACAAAATATGTCAAGGTTATAGATGGATACTTAAAACACAAGTAGGGAGTAAAATTTATTTTAATTTTTTTTTTGCACATTTCACTTTCATTTTCGTCTTTGTTTTCATTTTTAGTGCAGAATGTCAACAATTGTTTTATTTTTCTAGTTTAGTTTATTTAAATTTATTTTTCCTCTAACCAAGTTTTTTAAAACGGATTTTTCTCACATTCGTTGATGTTTTATTTTCCAGGGAGATGCTTTGGTAACAACATGCTACTATAATACCCTGGGTTACGATAATGCAACACTTGGTGGTTTTTCCATTAGTGATGAGATGTGTGTTAATTATATGCACTATTATCCAGCAACAAAATTGGAAGTTTGCAAGAGTTCTGTTTCAGAAGATACTTTGGAAAATTACTTCATTTACATGAAAAAGTAAGTTCAGATTTTGTTTTCCTTTTGATTTTTTTTTTTTTTTTTTTGCTCTTTTCTTCCTTAATTCTTCATCTCTCTTTTTTATAATTTTTGCTGCGGTTGTTGTTTCTGTCATACTTTCACTTAAAACGAACTGTAATTGTGTCACAAATGAGTTGGAAGAAATGTTGATTCAACTAAAATGACAATTTTGGGTGGCAAGAGTAAAAAAAGAAAGAAACGGAATATTTTCTTTTTTTACTCTTTTCCTTTAAAATGCAAGACGATGTCTTTTGCATGACACACAAAAAAGACAGTTTTGCTGTGTTGTGTGTGAAAACTTTTTGTTTTTCTTTGTTTAAGAGTTTGTTGGGAAAATTTAACAAATATTTAACATAATCCTTAAAGGATGTTTGAATAAGAAGGGAAAGTTTGTTACTGAGGGAATTGTGTCGAGGTGGATGGTTTTATAATTGTAAAACTTATATGCTTGGTGAAAATAAATAAATAAGTGAGAATTACGAAAATTTGTATTTTTATAAAAATTTTCCGAAAAAAATGTTCATTTCATTGAAAATTGCCTTTTTGTGATAAAAAAAAACTTCTTTTTACTACAAAAATGTTTGGAAAAAATTCTCTTTTTATAGAACATTTACGACAAAATTCTCTTTTTAAAGGACATTTTCGTGAAAATTCTCTTTTTATAGAAAATTTTCGACAAAATTCTTTTTTGTAGAAAGTTTACGACAAAATTCTCTTTTTAAAGAAAATTCTCTTTTTATAGAAAATTTTCGAGAAAATTCTCTTTTTATAGAAAATTTTCGAGAAAATTCTCTTTTTATAGAAAATGTTCGAGAAAATTCTCTTTTTATAGAAAATCTTTGGAGAGAATTCTATTTATATAGAAAATCTTTGGAGAGAATTCTCTTTTTATAGAAAATCTTTGGAGAGAATTCTCTTTTTATAGAAAATCTTTGGAGAAAATTCTCTTTTTATAGAAAATTTTTGGATAAAATTCTATTTTTTTAGAAATTTTTGTAGAAAATTCTTTTTTTATAGAAAATCTTTGGAGAAAATTCTCTTTTTATAGAAAGTTTTTGGATAAAATTCTTTTTTTTAGAAAATTTTCGAGAAAATTCTCTTTTAATAAAAATTTTTTGAGAAAATTCTCTTTTTATAGAAAATTTTCGAAAAAATTCTCTTTTTATAGAAAATTTTTGGAGAAAATTCGCTTTTTACAGAAAATTTTCGAGAAGTTCTCTTTTTATAGAAATTTTCGAGAAAATTCTCTTTTTATTGAAAATTTTCAAGAAATTTCTCTTTTTATAGAAAATTTTCGAGAAAATTCTCTTTTTATAGAAAATTTTCGAGGAAAATTCTCTTTTATAGAAAATTTTCGAGAAAATTCTCTTTTTATAGAAAATTTTCGAGAAAATTCTCTTTTTATAAAAAATTTTCGAGAAAATTCTCTTTTTATAGAAAATTTTCGAGAAAATTCTCTTTTTATAAAAAATTTTCGAGAAAATTCTCTTTTTATAGAAAATTTTCGAGAAAATTCTCTTTTTATAGAAAATTTTCGAGAAAATTCTCTTTTTATAGAAAATTTTCGAGAAAATTCTCTTTTTATAGAAAATTTTCGAGAAAATTCTCTTTTAATAGAATATTTTCGAGAATAAAGAAATAGAATAGAAATAGAAAATTTTCGAGAAAATTCTCTTTTTATAGAAAATTTTCGTGAAAATTCTCTTTTTATAGAAAATTTTCGAGAAAATTCTCTTTTTATAGAAAATTTTCGAGAAAATTCTCTTTTTATAGAAAATGTTCGAGAAAATTCTCTTTTTATAGAAAATGTTCGAGAAAATTCTCTTTTTATAGAAAATTTTCGAGAAAATTCTCTTTTTATAGAAAATTTTCGAGAAAATTCTCTTTTTATAGAAAATTTTCGAGAAAATTCTCTTTTTATAGAAAATTTTCGAGAAAATTCTCTTTTTATAGAAAATTTTCGAGAAAATTCTCTTTTTATAGAAAATTTTCGAGAAAATTCTCTTTTAATAGAATATTTTCGAGAAAATTCTCTTTTAATAGAATATTTTCGAGAAAATTCTCTTTTAATAGAATATTTTCGAGAAAATTCTCTTTTAATAGAATATTTTCGAGAAAATTCTCTTTTAATAGAATATTTTCGAGAAAATTCTCTTTTAATAGAATATTTTCGAGAAAATTCTCTTTTAATAGAATATTTTCGAGAAAATTCTCTTTTAATAGAATATTTTCGAGAAAATTCTCTTTTAATAGAATATTTTCGAGAATAAAGAAATAGAATAGAAATAGAAAATTTCCGAGAAATTCTCTTTTTATAGAAAATTTTCGAGAAAATTCTCTTTTTATAGAAAATTTTCGAGAAAATTCTCTTTTTATAGAAAATTTTCGAGAAAATTCTCTTTTTATAGAAAATTTTCGAGAAAATTCTTTTGAGAATATTCTCTTTTTATAGAAAATTTTCGAGAAAATTCTCTTTTTATAGAAAACTTTCGAGAAAATTCTCTTTTTATAGAAAATTTTCGAGAAAATTCTTTTGAGAATATTCTCTTTTTATAGAAAATTTTCGAGAAAATTCTCATTTTATAGAAATTTTTCGACAAAATTCTTTTTTATAGAAAATTTTCGACAAAATCCTTTTTTAGAGAAAAATTTCGACAAAACTCTCTTTTATAGAAAATTTTCGACAAAATATTCTTTTATAGAATATTTTTGAGAAAATTCTCTTTTTATAGAAAATTTTCAAGAAAATTCTCTCTTTTTGCAAATTTCTTTAGTTTCTAGTTAAGAAATTTTCAATTAAAGTTTTCTTAAATATTGACCTAAAAACTACGCTTCATTAAATTTATAATTAATTAATTACTTAATTAAATAATCAGCAAATTCCATCACGTCTTTCTTTATATTAGTCTACAATTTCAATATTTAAACGGAACAAAAGTTTTCCCTTTACAAAAATCTATAATAAAAATTGACAAACATTAAGCAATGATTACAATTATAAACAAGCAATTGAATAAATAATTTAAGTAAAAACAAAAAAGAACGCAAAACAACTAAACAAATTATGCTGACACAAAAAAAAAAAAAAAACTCAAGCAGGGGAAAAAATTAAATACAATTTCCAACTTACAGTTTCTTTAAGAGCAAGTCAAGCAAACAACTTAATAAAGTTCTTGTTGGTTTTTTGTTGTGCAACATAATTTCTTCTCATATTTTCACTAGACACAAAGATTTTGTTAAGCAATTCTAATCAAGTTTTACTTGTACTATTTCTAACTCACACACATAACTACACTTTGAATACACAAACAGTTTCAACGACAGATTTACAGACAAAAAGAACTCTTGTGTCTGTAAACCAAACACCAACACCACAATCATAAAGAAAATATAATTTTTAACACTCAACTTTATCTCCCCGTGTTCCTCTCCCACACTCTCTCAACCACTTTTCTATTTCCATTTCTATAACATTTTATACTCATTTGTGTCTATTTGTGTTTTTTCGTCTGTCTGTCTTTCTGCAGGAAGGAGCATCAACGTGGCATACGCTTAAATGGTGCACGTTCGAAAAATTATCGCAGCATCAAGTGGACACAACCACGAGTCGACCAATTGTATACAATGTATATACAGGAACCACTTAGTATGCAATGTAACAAATCGGATGGTTTTCGCTTTGAGGGTTACCAATGGGAGGGTGCACCCATTACACCCGTACAAATCAAAATACCCATACATCGTAAATTGTGCCCCAACTACAATCCATTGTGGCTAAAACCACTGGAAAGAGGTGAATGCGATTTATTGGGTGAATGCATTTACTAAAGAAGTGCTTTCAAACTAAAATTATGGAGGAAGATGAGTTCACGACAAAGGCGACGACAAGGGCGAATACGAGGTCTTACAAATTGCAGTAACAGCAGCTGCAGTAGCTGTTTTATAATGGAGGTAAAACAAAAAAACTTTAAGTATTTTATATTTTAAAGTGCAAAATTTTGTAAGAGCATGACAGCGTTAGAGTAGTTTAAAATAAGTAATGAGAAAATTGTTATAATTAATAGAAATGAGTTTTAGTTTTTTTTTTTTTTCATTTTATTTAGTTTTTCAATTTTCAGTTTCAGTAATTTTTGTTGATTATAATTTTGTTAGTGTCATTTTTGTTTATTTGGTTTTGGACAAAAAAACAAAAAAAAGAAACCCTCTAGAATATAAGCAACATTAACAAAATAGCCATTAAACAAAATGAGATTTCATTCTTTGGAAAATTGGCACCAGAGATTACAAAGAGTGGGGGCAAGTACGTGCAAGTATGTCTTCATCTACAAACAATTAGGGGTTTTAATATCAAGTGTAATTTCGGCAAATTTTTACAGCCGGTTCACCAGGATTCTTCTTTAGTAAAGAATCTTCGCAAATATTTACATTTTATAGAAAATTTTCGACAAAATTCTCTTTTTATAGAAAATTTTCAACAAAATTCTCTTTTTATAAATAACTTTCGAGAAAATTCTCTTTTTATAGAAAAATTTATATTTTTATAGAAAATTTTATAGCAAATTTTCGTGAAAATTTAATTTTTATAGAAAATTTCGACAAAATTTTCTTTTTTCTGGAAAATTTTTGAGGAAAATCTCTTTTTATAGAAAAATTTTTATAATTTTTTCTTTCTATAAAAAATTTTCGAGAAAATTCTCTTTTTAATAGAAGGTTCGAGAAAATTCTCTTTTTTATAGAAAATTTTTGAAAAAAATATCTTTTGTTAGAAAATTTTCCAAAAAAGTCCCTTTTTTATAAAAAAAAATTGAGAAAATTATCTTTTTTATAGAAAATTTTCGACGAAATTCCCCTTTTTACAGCAAATTTTCGAGAAAATTCTCTTCTTATAGAAAATTTTTGAAAATTTCTATGGAATATTTTCGAGAAATTTCTCTCTTCTTACAGAAGAGATCGAGAAAATCCTCTCTTCTTATAGAAAATTTTCGAGAAAATTCTCTCTTCTTATAGAAAATTTTTGAAAGAATTCTCATTCTATGGAATATTTTCGAGAGAATTCTCTCTTCTTATAGAAAATTTTCGAGAAATTTCTCTTTTTATGGAAAATTTTCGAGAAAATTCTCTTTTTTATAGAAAATTTTAGAGAAAATTCTCTTTTTATAGAAAATTTTCGAGAAAAAAAAAGATAATTTTTATAGAAAATTTCCAATAATTTTTTTATAGATAATTCTTTCTTTATAGAAAATTCTCATTTTATAGAAAATTATCTTTTTATAGAATATTTTTGAGAAAATTCTCCTTTTATAGAAAATTTTCGAGAAAATTCTCTTTTTTTATAGAAAATGTTCGAGAAAATTCTCTTCTTTTATAGAATTTCGAGAAAATTCTCTTTTTATAGAAAATTTTCGAGAAAATTCTCTTTTTTTATAGAAAATGTTCGAGAAAATTCTCTTTTTATAGAAAATTTTCGAGAAAATTCTCCATTTATAGAAAATTTTCGAGAAAATTCTCCATTTATAGAAAATTTTCGAGAAAATTCTCCTTTTATAGAAAATTTTCGAGAAAATTCTCCTTTTATAGAAAATTTTCGAGAATATTCTCTTCTTTTATAGAATTTAGAAAAAATTCTCTTTTTTAAAGAAAATTCTCTTTTTATAGAAAATTTTCGAGAAAATTCTCTTTTTATAGAAAATTTTCGAGAAAATTCTCTTTTTATAGAAAATTTCCAATAATTTTTTTATAGAAAATTCTTTCTTTTTACAAAATCGTCTTTTTATAGAATATTTTCGAGTAAAATCTCTTGTTTATAGAAAATTTTCTTTTCATAGAAAATTTTCGAGAAAATTCTCTTTTTTATAGAAATTTTTGTAGAAAATTCCATTTTTTATATAATATTTTCGAGAGAATTCTCTTTCTATAGAAAATTTTCGAGAAAATCCTATTTTTACACAATTTTCGGGAAAATTCTCTTTTTATAGAGAATTTTCTAGAAAATTTAGTGAAATTTTTTCATAAATAATTTTTTGAAACTTAAAGAAGTGGTAGTACCGAAAACCCTATTCTTTATTTTTTTGCTGATAAAACTGTTGATGATGACAATTTATTTTTTGCCAGCTGTTGCTTAATTTTTTTTCCACAAAATATTTAAACATTTCTCATTCATTTACACCAAATATTCATTTATGCAAAACATTCCATTCATTTTAGTGCCTCTAATTAGATGTAACTAAAACAAAATTTTCAATGCCAAAAGGGGTTAAATACTCATTAAAATTAAGAAAAAAAAACCCTAAAATGAGAAAAAAATTAAAGAACAAAGGAAAAACTTTTATAATTAAAGCTTAAATAAAGTGTTTATAAAGAACCTTTTAACACTTACAATTTGCACAAAAAAGCGCAGAGATTCTATAGGGCTTTTTCATTGTGCGGAGGAATTAATATTCATCAATGAAAATACACATTACAAAGGAGATAATTAGATGGCCAGACATGAGTTGATATGAGGAGTGGAGGGTGACTATAGGGATTATTAGCCATTAATAAGTCATTAATTGGAAACAATTAGATGTATAGACAGAGTCTGTTATAGAAATTTCTTAGAACAGTGTCTAACCAAGGTTTGTTAAACAAACGTATATACATGGCAAAGGTTTCATAAAAGAATTTGAGACAGAACCTTATAAGAACAATTTCGCATGCACTTAATTATAAAAATTTTATGTTATAGTTAAAAATATAAAATTCTCATAGTGATAATACTTATCAAAACGCTTTTAAATTATTAAGATTCTTATAGTAAATTGTGCAAAATAATAAGTATTTTAATGCCATTGACTTAAGAATAAATAAAACATTTCTTTCATTCCATTTTATCATGCCATCATCATCATCATGCTTTCAACAGAAATACATTTTATATTTTTCTAAATAAAAAAATCCTCTTAATCAGACAGTTAGTTGATTTTTCTACAATATTCTCTTGTATTTATCTTATTTTTAGAAATCTCTTTTAAGTGCGATTTTTAACAGTTTAATTTATAGCAGCAGCTTTAAAACATATGAAATAAATTTAATTTATTATTTTCTTTTTCTTTAAAACCCCCAAACAGACTCTCGCTGTTGCCAATTTTCAAAGAGGCACGTCTTCAGTAAGACATAAAAATAAAGCTTTATAAAATATTTAAAAGACGTTAAGAAAATTACATCAAAAAAAATTAAACATCATAAAAACGTTTTCTCTTCAACTTATCAAAAGAAAAACAATTAAGATGTAACAGATATTTAAAGGAATTTATTCAAAAAAGTGTTCAACTTTTTTAATTTTAATGCAGCCAGATTTAAATAATTTAACTTTTTTTCGAGAAATTCTATTATAAGAAAATTCTCTTTATATGGAAAATTTTCGAGAGAATTCTCTTTTTTATAGAAAATTTCCAGAAAATTCTCTTTTTTATAGAAATTTTTAGAAAAAATTCTCTTTTTTATAGAAAATTTTCGAGAAAATTCTCTTTTTTTATCGAAAATTTTCGAGAAAATTGTCTTTTTTATAGAAAATTTTCGAGAAAATTCTCTTTTTTATAGAAAATTTTCGAGAAAATTCTCTTTTTATAGAAAATTTTCGAGAAAATTCTCTTTTTTATAGAAAATTTTCGAGAAAATTTTCTTTTTTATAGAAAATTTTCGAGAAAATTCTCTTTTTTATAGAAAATTTTCGAGAAAATTCTCTTTTTTATAGAAAATTTTCGAGAAAATTCTCTTTTTTATAGAAAATTTTCGAGAAAATTCTCTTTTTATAGAAAATTTTCGAGAAAATTCTCTTTTTTATAGAAAATTTTCGAGAAAATTATCTTTTTTATAAAAAATTTTCGAGAAAATTTTCGAGAAAATTCTGTTTTTTTCGAGAAAATTCTCTTTTTTTATAGAAAATTTTCGAGAAAATTCTCTTTTTTTATAGAAAATTTTCGAGGAAATTCTCTTTTTTTATAGAACATTTTCGAGAAAATTCTCTTTTTTTATAGAAAATTTTCGAGAAAATTCTCTTTTTTTATAGAAAATTTTCGAGAAAATTCTCTTTTTTTATAGAAAATTTTCGAGAAAATTCTCTTTTTTTATAGAAAATTTTCGAGAAAATTCTCTTTTTTTATAGAAAATTTTCGAGAAAATTCTATTTTTTTATAGAAAATTTTCGAGAAAATTCTCTATTTTCAAAAAAATTCTCTTTTTTATAGACATTTTTTGAAAAAATCTCTTTTTTATTAAAAATTTTTTCTAAAAAATTTTCGACAAAATTTTCGAAAAAAATCTCTTTTTTATAAAAAAATTACGAGAAAATTCTATTTTTTATAGAAAATTTTTGAGAAAACTTTCTTTTTAAATAGAAAACTCTCTTTTATATAGAAAATTTTCGAGAAAATTCTCTTTTCGAAAAAATTCTCTTGTTTATAGAAAACTTTCGTGAAAAATCTTTTTTTATAGAAAATTTTCGTGAAAGTTCTCTTTTATATAGAAAATTTTCGAGAAAACTCTCTTTTTTAAAGAAAATTTTTCAAAAAATTCCCTTTTTTATAGAAAATTTTCGAGAAAATTATCTTTTTTGTAGAAAATTCTCCTTTTTATTGAATGTTTTCCAGAAAATTCTCTTTTTTATAGAAAATTTTCGAGAAAATTCTCCTTTTTATTGAAAGTTTTTGCGAAAATTCACTTTTTTATATAAAATTTCTGAGAAAATTCTCTTTTTTGTATAAAATTTTGAAAATTTTCGAAAACATATATTTTATAAAAATCTTCTTTTCAAGCCTTTGAGTTATGAACGACTACAGCCATTTAAATTG